AACGCGATTCTTAAGTATATTGTGACGGCGTCCTTGGCGCAGCGTGTTTCCTGAGCGTCGGAAGCGCGATTTCTGAATAAATTGCATGGGAGTCACAGGCGAGAGCGCAATTCCTGAATCAAATGCAAGGGGCTCTCTGGCGGGAGCGGGGGTCTTGAATAAATTGCGAGGAAGTCTTGATTCAATTGCAAGGAAGTCTTAAGCGAGAGCGCCGTTCCTTAGTTTCCTGAGTAAAATGTGAGGAAATTTCAGATGGGAGCGGGGGCCCAGACTAAATTGCGAAAGGGTCACAGGCGGGAGCGCCGTTCCTGAGTAAATTGTAAGGAAATCTCAGGCAGGAGCGGGGGCCCTGAGAAAATTTGGAAGAAGTCTCAGGAGGGAGCCGCTGTTGTTGTTGTAATCCGGCGGGGGCCAGGGGCACAGTTTGAGCAGGAAGATTTTCCCCGTCGAAAAACCAGGTGCGAGCGTCGAGCGGCACACTTTGATTGAGAAAAAACAGTATGCACCAGCGAAGGGGGGATCAACAAAAATTATTATTCATAAGTGAGAGTTCAACAACAACAACAACAACAACAACAACAACAACAACAACAACAACAACAACAACAACAACAACAACAACAACAACAACAACAACGACAACGACAACGACAATAACAATAACAATAATAACAACAACAACAACAACAATAACAATAACAATAACAATAACAATAACAACAATCAGTATTGGACTGTTCGCTCCTACCGCGCCCCGCGTGTCATTCACTATGCATAAACCCTGGATGCCCGCCTTTTTTGTCTTCGATCGTACCCCGTTTGGGGGGTTATATTCCTTCCTGACCACGCGCAATTTGGAGAAGTTCCTAAACAGGGAAACGAAAGGGAAATAACTAAAAGAGAGGACGAAGGGATCGGAGGAAGGGAGGGATTAGAGGGGCAAGAGGGAGGGACGACGATGATTTGTGCCGCGAGTTGCGATTCAGCTTGCGCCATGGCTTGCGCCAGCCATTCCAATACAGGTTAACAAAGGTTTCGCCATGGGTCGCGCCATAAACAGCGCCATGTAACACCTCTGGTGCTGCCCGGCGAGGTGTTGGAGACAAACGTGGTACCCGATGTCATATCTTACAACTCTGTAGGGCCAGGGTGGGTGAGAGGAACCAGCGGGGGCCACGGGCTTTGTTGCTGCTGCACGACGTGCGGCATTCACGGCGACCGGGGAAACCGCATAGTGGTAGCCGGTTTTGGCGCTGCTCAGCGAGAAGTGGGAGGCGAAACAGCAATCAGAGGCAGCGAGTTCTGGCACTTGTCTGTGGGATGCCGCAATCGACATTGGGACCCCATTACAGTAGCTATGACGCGGCGGTCACCGCGCGCGGCCTGGGAGGAGGGGGGAGGCGGCCCGGGAGGAGGGAAGAGCAGGAAGGCAAGAGTGCGAACGTTCGAAGAAGTCCTAAGCAAAAGCGCCATTCCACAAGGAGGTCTCGGGCGGGAGCCCACGACGGGTGGGCGATCCTCTGACGGGCGGGTCGGGCGGGTGGGACATTCAAGCGGGATGCCTGAGTAAGGCGAGAGCGCGATTCTTAACTAAAGTGCGACGGCGTCCTTGGCGCAATCGTGGTGCCTGAGCGTAGATAGCGCGATTTCTGAGTAAACTGCGAAAAAGTCAACAGGCGAGAGCGCAATTCCTGAAAAAGGGGATCTGTCTGGCGGGAGCGGGGGCCTAGACTAAAGCGCAAGGAAATCTTAAGCGGGGGCGCCGTTCTTGAGTAAACTGTGAGGAAGCCTCAGATGGGAAGGGGGGGTTGACTGAATTGCGAGGAAGGCACAGGCGGGAGCGCAGATCCTGAGCAAATCGTGAGGAAGTCTAAGGCGGGAGCGGGGGTCCTGAGTAAACTTGGAGGAAGTCTCAGGCGGGAGCCGTCTTTGTTGTAGTCCGGGGGAGCAACGACGCAGTTTGACCCGGAGTAAATTGTGAGGAAGTCTCAAGCGGGAGCGCCGTTCCTGAGTAAATTGTGAGGAAGTTTCAGACGGGCAGACGGGAAGGGGGGGTCCTGAGTGAATTGGAGGAATGAGCCGTTGTTGTTGTAGTCCGGGGGGCCACGGGCACAGTTTGACCAGGAAGAATTTCCCCGTCGAAAAACACGGTGCGAGCGTCGAGGGGCACACTTTGACTGAGAAAAAGCAGTATGCACCAGTGAGGGGGCGACCAACAATAATTACAAGTGGCACGCGTGCCATGGCTCTTGCACAAAAAAGAAGGGGGATGAGGAGGATGTGGAGGAGGAGGGGGGGGGGGGGAGAGGATGCCAGACATCGCAGGGGGGGGGAGAGGATGCCAGACATCGCAGAGGGAGTGAACAAAACAGGACCGCAAGAGGGGCTCCAGAGGGTGGTCGGGGCGGAGGGGGCGCTGGGCGAGCGCTGGAGCCGTGGGGGGCGCTGAGACGTGTGGGGGAGGGGGCGGGAGGATGGGGGGGGGCTGTCGGGGCGGAGGGGGCACTGGGCGGGCGCTCGAGCCGCGGGGGAGCGCTCAGACGGTGCGGGGGAGGCAGCGGAGCGGGGAGGGGGGGTGCGGTGCCGAAATAAAGTGGTCGGGGCGGAGGGGGCACTGGGCGGGCGCTGGAGCCGCGGGGGGGGCGCTGAGACGGCGCGGGGGAGGGGGCGGAGCGGGGGGGGGGTGCGGTGCCGAAATAAAGTGGTCGGGGCGGAGGGGGCACTGGGCGGGCGCTGGAGCCGCGGGGGGGCGCTGAGAGCGGGGGAGGGGCGCGGGAGGGGGGGTGAGGTGGGGAATGAAGTTGGTCGGGGCGGAGGGGCGCTGAGACGGCGCGGGGGAGGGGCGGAAGCCTTGTGAGGGTTTGCCGGTTTGCCGAAATAGGCGGTCGAAGCGGAGGGGGCACTGGGCGGGCGCTGAGCGCGCGGGGGGGCGATTGAGACGCGCGGGGGAGGGCGGCGGAGCGGGGGAGGGTGTGCGGTGCCGAAATAAAGTGTCGGCGCGGAGCGCGGCACTGGCGGGCGCTGGAGTCCGCGGCATGAGGGGCGCGTTTGAGACGGAGGTGGGGGTGATGCTGATGTTGTGGTATGATGATGATGTAGTGATGGTGGTATGATGTGGATGATGATGATGATGATGATGATGATGGTGATTATGATGGTGATGATGGTGAGGATGATGGTGATGATGATGATGATGATGCTGCTGATGATGATGATGATGATGATGAAGGGGGGGGGGTGCGGTGCCGAAATAAAGTGGTCGGAGCTCTAGACACCCTGTGCAAGAGAATATTCCTCCGGAAGGGGGTGCATGGGTGCAATCGAAGACGAAGTGGGCGGGTCTCGAGGGTTGGGTATACGGAATGCAAGACACGCGTGCCGCCAGTAAGAGCGAACAGTGCTCAAATGATCGTCGTCGCCGTCGTCGTCGTCGACGTCGTTGTCGTCGTCGTCGCGGTCGTCGTCGCCGTCATCGTCGGGCTCGTTCTCGTCCCCGTCGTCGTCGTCTTCGTCTTTATCGTCGTTGTCGTCGTCGTCGTGTCCGAGGGCCTCCCAGGGTCAGCAGACGCTTCAAGAGGCCTCCGGAGATCTCCTGAGGCATCCGCAGACCTCTGTAGAGCTTCAGAGGCGGCCGTCATCGTGTTAGTCGTCGTCGTCGTCGTCGTGTGTCGTCGTCGTCCTTGCAATGGTCGTCGCCGTCGTCGTCTTCGTCGTGGTCGTCCTCATCGTCTTTGTCAATGACCTCGTCCTCGTCCTAATCGTCATCGTCGTTTCCGAGGGCCTCGAAGGACACCCAGATGCCTCCAGAGGCCTCTGGAGACTTCTGAAGACCTTCAGGGGCGGCCGTCGTCGTCGGCGTCGGCGTCAGCGTTGTCGTCGTCGCCGCCGTCGTCTTCTTCGTCGTCGTCGTTTGTCGTCGTCGTCGTCGTCGTCGTCCTTGCTTTCGTCGTCGTCCTCTCGTTGTCGTCGTCCCCGTCCTCGTCCTCGTTCTCGTCATCCTCACCGTCGTCGTCGTCGTCGTGGTCGTCGTTCTCGTCGTCGTCGTGCTCGTCGTTGTCGTCTTTTCTCTCGTCCTCGTCGTCGTTGTCGTTATCGTCGTCTTCGCCGTCGTTTTCGTTATCGTTGTCGTCGTCCCCTCCTTGTCCTTGTCACATCCTTGTCGTCGTCACCGTTGTGGTCGTCGTTGTTGCCGTCGTCGTCGTCGTCCTCGTCCTCGTCCTCGTCCTTGTCGTCGTGTCATGCCCGTCGTCATCGTCGTCGCCGATGGCCTCAAAGGGCCTCCAGACGCCTTCAGAGGTCTCTGGAGACCTCCTTCGGAGACCTCAAGAGACCTTCAGAGGCGGTCGTCGTCGTCGTCGTTGTCGTTGTCGTTAGCGTTGTCGTCGTCTTGGTCTTCGACCTCGTCGTCGTTCTCGTCCTCGTCATTCTCATCCTCGTCCTCTTTCCCGTCCTCGTCTCGTCCCTATCGTCCTCGTGATCGACTCCTCGTCCTCGTCGTCGTCGTCCTCGTCGTCGTTGCCGAGGGCCTCGAAGGAGCCTTCAGACGCGTTCAGAGGTCTCCGGAGACTTTCAGAGGTGACCGTCGTCGTCGTCGTCGTCCTTGTCCTCCTCGTCACCTTCCTGGTCCTTGTCATCATCGTAATCCTCGCCGTCGTCGTCGCAGTCGTCGTCGTCGTCGTCGCAGTCGTCGTCGTCGTCGTCGTCGTCGTCGTCGTCGTCGTCGTCGTCGTCGTCGTTCCCGTTCCCGCCCTAGTCTTCGTGCTCGTTATTGTCGTTGTCGTCGTCGTCTTCGTCGTCCAGCGCGCCAGCCGAAACTTCTGCATACTCCACCGTCCTAGAGTTGTCAGGGAACGCGACTGCTTTCGGCCAGATCCTGGACCTAGCTTCTCTCCGAACACCGCCTTCCCGACGTCGAGCAGTCATTCCCGCGCGCACACCCGCACAGTGAAGTCGCCTTCCCGCTCATCTTACGCACCCAGAGGGGGGACGAGACTGCTCAGGCGTGCCTGCAGAGGACCTCACGCTCGAGATGGACGCGAGCGGGAGCCTCCGACGGAGTTGCCTCCCATGGCGGCCGACGTCGCCATTGCTTCTCGGCGCGGGCGCCCACCGTTTCCAGTCCCATCCCTTGATGCGCCTGTTTTCCACCACCACCACCATAAGCTGTAGGGGGAGGGAGTCCTCCTCCTCCACCTCCTCCTCCCCCTCCTCTCCGTCCTCCTCCTCGTCCTCCTCCTCCTCGTCCTCCTCCCCCTCCAAGTTGTGGTGGTGGTGGAAGACAGGCCCCTCGTCCCTGGGACCAGTAGCCGCCGCGCGTCGCGGCCTCCCGGGGGCGACGCGCCCGGCCGCACCCGAGCTCCGCGCTCGCGTCCGCGGCCCCGCGTTGGCCCGCGGCCTCGGGCAGCGGGGCCCCGCGGACACCTTTCTGGCCTGCGGGCTCGCGAAGCGGGTCGAAGGCCGTCCGAACACTGGCCGGGCCGCGACTGGGAAGCAAGAAGAGAGAGGCAAAGGCGGAGGGAGCGCGCGGGCAGCCACGCAGAGGAAGAAGAGCCAGAAACAGCACTCCCAACTCGGTGGCGTGGAGACCCCGGTGGCGACCATCAGGTAGGCGCAGCCAAAATCCAAGATCCGCATGTAGGGGGACACGCCCGATTTACGATTACCCAGGCGACAGCGCATGCACAGGACCGCTCCCCGCTGGACCTCCAAGATGGGGTCGGAGCAAACGGGGTCGGAGGAACGCGCCGCATCGCCGATGCAGCGGCGATGCGGCTCGATGCCGAGCCCGATTTCATCCAAGCCGACGTTGCCGATGCGTTGCCGACGTCGCCCATGCGTTGCCGATGCATCGGCGATGCGGAGCGAACCTCCGACCTCATCTACTCGGACCCCGCCTAGGAGGCCTCGATCCCCAGACTCCAGACCGCGAGGGCGTGGATCTGGATGATTTCGCCGCTCGTGAGTCTTCGGGGGGCGACGTTGGCGCAAGACTGCTGGCCGTGCTCTGTTCACGACGACGCGAGGTCAGGGGCGGAAGCTTCCGAGGGCGTTCCCCTCCAGCTCGCCCCCCAGTGCGCTCCGCCAGGATGCTGGGCGAGATGCCCCAGCCCCCGTATGCAGGCGCCCCGGAGCTGCGCCGCGAGCGGTGCTCGGGCGGAGGAGGCTGCAGACGGACAGATCCTGAGGCCATTGGCGGGGGCGCGGTGAGAAGTGCCTCGCGGTCTGGGCCGGGTGCCGTCCTGCTCCCTGGGGCGGCACGCTCGCGCGAAGATCGTCGCGCCTCGCGCGGTGCGGAAAAGCGCGAAGGCCAGCGACGCGGGGGAGGGGGCCTTCGCTTTGGAACGGGCTTCCTTGAGGGCTCTCGTCGCCACGCTCGAGCCTGCCTCGACACCGTGGCTCGTGGTCAGAACTTGCTCCACTGAGAGGTTCGGGTGCGGGCGGGCGGTTTCGGGGGAAGGGCACAGGCGGGGGGGAGCAGAGCGAAGTCGACGACAGCTTGCTTCGTTAAGCGGGGTGTGTGAAGCTGGCCCGCGATTTTTGGAAAACAAAAAAGTTTTGGCGCTCCGCGCGGAGTTCTTGGATCGGCGCTTGGATGGAGCTGGCCCTCGACTTGAAATCCGTGTGTGCATCTCGATAAGTTTGTCACGAATAGCCTTAAGTCGGGCGTGTCCCTCTACATGGGGGGATATTCCAAGATATTACAATTGTATGGGGACGATGTTCTTACTATTGTATTCAATGGTGCAGCATCATTGGAGGATTCTTATGTTTCGTTCCAAATCCGCCTGTAGGGGGACATGCCCGATCTAAGAATAGCCATGATCGGAGGTTGATCGACCTCCTACCCTGACACGTCGATTAGCGAATTGGCCGATTTCGGTTCGCGAGAGGGTCGCGCGGCCGTTATTTTTGCGAGTCCAGATCCGTCGGTTTCGGTCCTAGGCCGTTTTCGCTACAGGGTGGTTTATTTAAGGGAGGTTTGCCCACCGCCGACATGAAGCAGTCATTCCGACGGCGACAGCGTTGCGGGCAGAGCGTGGTGAAGCCGCCAGCGTGCTGCTCAATCGGGCCAGCAGGCGTGATAGTCTCAAGTCGGAGGGTACCCCTCGGCTCGTCTTGGGCAGCGCTGCAGCTCGTCGTGCTTCGGAGGGTTTCCCTCCTCCGTTCCTTCTGACGGGCCAACTATCCACCACTGCCATCGGTAGAACGTGGGAGAAGGGAGGATTGGGAGGTCCCCCTCCCCCCCCTCCTCCTCCTCCTCCTCCTCCGCCTCCTCCTCCGCCTCCTCCTCCTCCTCCGCCTCCTCCTCCGCCTCCTCCGCCTCCGCCGCCTCCTCCTCCTCCTTTTCCTCCTCCTCCTCCTCCTCCTCCTTTTCCTCCTCCTCCTCCTCCTCCTCCTCCTCCCCCGTCTCCTACCTACGGTAGTGGTGGTGGAAAATCGGCTTATCACCCTCTTCCTCCTCGCGATGCCGTTCCTGCAGTGGTTCCGTGCCACGTGCCTGTGGCTCGTTATTACCCGGGTCCAGAGCGTTTGCATCGGGCCTGACAGGCGGGGGGAGGCTGCGTCTGTTCGGCGTTCGGGAGTTGGAGGCCATTGCGGGGGATCGCGTGTTTCTTGCCCTTCTCCTTCCCCCCCTCCTCCAAAAATACGGTGGAGGCGTGCGTTAAGGAATAGTCCCAGTAGGCGCCAGACCCTTGAGGATTTCTTATCGAAGGAGGGCGGCGGTGACATCCATGGCCGATGCACGATTGGAGTTGCGCTGGCTTCCAGACCCTGGATTCCTTCTCTATGGGTTGTTTATCCAATGCCCACACAGTATTGCGCTAAACGTTCACCACCACCTCAGCATACTGCTCGGATGATATGTTTCGCCAGGGGCTGCTCGGAAGACCTGTGTAGCTGTGACGGTGTTGCACTATCCTCGACTACGGCTGGAAGGTGTTACCAGCCTGGATATGTATCCTGTTGTTGATGTCGTTCCTCCTCCTATGGTACTGTTGTCCAATTCCCACTTCTCATGGAGGAAAGGAGGGGAGTTTGTTAATCAGGTTGAGGGGGCTGATGCAGAGCATGGAGTGGAGCAGCAGGAACATGATTATGATAAGGGGGTTAGCAAAGCGTGGAATGATACGAAGAGCGGCTGCCTGTCCACAGGAACATCGCAGACGAGGAAGGCCACCAGGCAACGTTGGCTAAGCCAGCCCAATGACAGTTTTGCTCATAAGAGGCAGCACCGGGAGTCGAAAAAGCACCGGAACACAGTGACGAAAGTTTGTGTGTGTGATTTCGACGCACGTGCCCATCTTGCTGTCGAGGAAGCACGAGCCCTGTGGAATGCGTCGGCACCAGAGAGATTGATGACCATGGTGGCATCAACGCTCACAGCCTAACTTCCACGAGCGGGACGACATGGCACAACAACTGCAGACAGCCCAAGCTGCATTCCCGTGCACAGAAAGCCGTAGCGCAAGTGAGCAGCCACCCAACTCCAACGCTCAGCGAGTTTGCCACCCTTCGCCCCACGGCGGCCAGCACTGTAAGGCGTGGTCCTGGGAACGGAAACAAGCTGGCTCCGACACATCCTTGCCGATGAACGAGAAGCCATTCCTTTGGTGCGCAAGTTGTGGCAACTTGACTCGTCATCAAGCACACCGTCAGCTCCGCCACATGCGGGGAGCTCAGATACAGACAGGCGGATCAGCACCAGCTGCAGGACTTGGTGACGCAGGGGCGGGCGCTGCGGCAGGATCTCCCCCAAGACCCACGCATCGGCTGGCTGCGCCAACATCAGAAGGAGAAGAGCCTTCAGGAGGCAAATCATTGGGATCCCGTGCGGCATCAACCTCAGCTTGCTTGGCTGCCTTGCGGCGCTTTCTCTTCCCCGAACGTTGAGCGCGACGCGCAGCACGGAGCGCGTCCAACAACTGCGCAGGGTCGTCGGGCTCCGTGCAGGCGCTCTGCGCACCAGCGACAACACCCTCGGGGCGAGGGCGAGGCGCGGCGTCAGCAGCCAGGCGCAAGAAGACGCCTGTGACTGCCGCCGCGACCACCTGCACTGTCCTCCGACGGGCGCCTGCTTGGCAAGCGGCGCGAACAGCTGCCACCAAGAGGGCGAGCGGGTCAGCAACGCGTAGCCGAGTGTTGCTGTTAGCTGCTATGCGCGCGCGCACAGCTGGCATCCTTCCGTTCGTCTCCTTTCTTCATTGTGCCCCCCCTATCTGCCCCCATCCTTGCCCCTCCCCCTCCCTCGGAATCGACCCCGTACCTCTCCTTGTGAGCGCCCCACGATGTCTTCGAGGTGAGGCCAGTTTGCGTTGACGATCCAGGCCTCCTGAAGACCCCCCAAAGGCACCGAATCTCCCCCCCTCCTCGTCTCTCCTTCTCATCCTCCTCCTTCACCCTGGACCTGGTTCTGTCGACGCTCTGCCTCCTCAATCCTCCTCCACTCCTTCTCCTTCTCCTCCTTCTCCTCCTTCTCCTCACCGTCATCATCAGCATCATCAACGATTTCATCGTCGTCCTCCTCATCCTCCTCCTCCTCATCATCATCATGATCACCATCACCATCACCAGCATCTTCTTCATCATCGACAGCATCATTATCACCATCTTCAGCATCATCATCATCATCATCATCATCATCATCATCATCATCCTCATCATCATCATCATCAGCATCGTCATCAGTACTATCACCATCATCCTCCTCATCCTCATCATCATGATGATTATCATCCTCCTCATCATCCTCTTCATCATCCTCATCATTATCATCCTCATCCTCATCATCACCATCATCATCATCTTCAGCATCATCATCATCATCATCATCATCATCATCATCATCATCATCATCATCATCATCATCACCATCATCATCATCGTCATCATCATCATCATCATCGTCATCATCATCATCATCATCCTCACCACCACCACCATCACCATCACCATCACCATCACCATCACCATCACCATCACCATCACCATCACCATGATCATCATCCGCATCATCAGCATCATCATCCTCTCTCCTCCTGCCTGGAGCACCTCTCCCCCCAGCCCGCCCTGCAGCGCCGATGCCGGCCCCGATGCCGCGGGTGCCCTCGTACGTCCCGGCGCCGCCGCGGGACGGGGGGAGCGCGGGGCGGCTCCGCGCGCAAGAGGAGTGGCCCCCTGGGCTGGTCGCCGTCGGGCAGGTGGGTCCCCGAGGGGACCTGCAGACCCCCTCGCGCTGTGACACAACAAAAAATGCGACGGGAGGTTTTTCGTTATTTTCGGCAACCGGGGGCCCTTCCCCAGGCCTCGGGGCCGTCAATCAGCGACTCAGACGAAGAACCTGTCCTGGGGAATGGGTCGAGACTTCCGGGTATTCCGTGTTGAAGAGGTCACACGACAGCGGATCTCAGGGCATGGGCCCTGAGATTCTCGCCGTGCCCCTGCTCGGGGCCCTCCCCCTGGCCCAAGGATTTTCGAGCGTGGCCACGGATGGCGAGCTGGTTTTGGGGGGGAGGCCCCTCCGGGGTCCAGGACCTCACTTCCTCAGGACCCGCGTCGTTCGTGCCAGGCTGCAGGGTCCAGCGGCCGTGGGCCCAGACGGGGCCACCTCCCCCCAGCACTGGCCTGCTTGTTTGGTTCGGCCACGCTTAGAAAGCACCCCTGCTTCTAAGCGCGGCTGCTTAGAAGCACCCCTGCTTATCAGAAGGCGCGGGCCTTCTTTCTAGACGTATGGCCGGGGCCTTCCAAGCTGCGTGCCCCCAATTGGTCTTGCCCACCGATCCCTCCCCCTCCCCAGGGAGGAAGGAGAGAGGAACGACGCCACCACCACCGGAGGGGGGTGGGCTACTTCAGGCGAGGAGGTCCTCGATGCCTCCACGCTCTGGAGGCAGGACATCTTTCTCGAGTGGGGCAGTGGGACCACACCACTTGGGGGACCCCCCTCGGGCGCCTCGCGCGGGTGGCGGTGGTGTCGCTCGGCCCTGTTCCTGCCTTATCCTGGCCCCCAGAGGCCGCCCCTGAGCCAGGAGGGAAAAATACGCAGACACAATTAATGATCGATTCCCAGAGGATATGGGTAAACATGGGAAGTGTGGGGGGGGGAAGACGAAACTCAACAAAACATGTAAAACATTAAGAACTCCCGGGACTTGTGTGTAATTTCTCTTTGTGTGTGGGCCCCTTCACTGGGGCCCCGCACCGAGGGGCTCCCCGCGCTTCGCTGAAGGAGATCGCCACGGTCGCTTGTTCCCCGAGTTCGGGGTTTCAGAAACCGACGTCGGGCCCAGGGGCCATTAACAGAACAGTCCGCGACGAAAAGGTGGTTCCTGGGGCGGGGTCGCGAGCATGTGGGGCCGCGTCGTGAAAGAACAGCGATGTCGTAGGTTTTTGTTTTGGTGGGCTCGGGCCACCGATTGGAGCCCTCGTCGTCACCCCCGGCTCCGCCCCGGAATCCTGGTCAGAGCGCATTCTAGGGCCACGGGGGGGCACGGCTTTGAGGGGGGAGATGGAGACAAAGGAAGGAGCCAGGTGGAGCACGGTCGTCGCCAGGCTCGCTGTTCTGCTGCGCTTCTGCCCTCGCCGTCTCCGCGTCCTCCCCCGCGCGCTGCTTGTCAGTATGATGTCTGCGCGCTCCCACGGCCTGCCCTGTTGGCCCGTCCGCGGAAAAGAAGAGAACACGGTACAGCAGGGGCTCGACAACCAGAAATTTCCCACCGGAAGCCCAACCCTGAGACCACAGGACGTCCACTGATTGTTGGCGTGGGAGAGGCACGCTTTGCACAACAAAACCACCGCAACCCTAGAAGCCCAGGGCGGGGCAAGCAGGGTGGTTCTTCGCACGGGTCTCAACTGTGTCGTTTGGCAGAAGATGCGGAGCACGGACGGGGAGGAGATCGCGCAGAGGCCTCACCGCGAGAGTGAGCGGCCGCGACCGAGAACGGAACGACCCTGCAGAACCAACTTCCCAGTCCCGTCCTTTGTCCTATGCACCTCTGGGGCCTGCGGTATCCCTTTGCGCTGCCGCCGCGCGAACCCGCCCCCGCGCTAAGGTTCAGTCGGGCATGTTGCTCTGCAGAGGGAATATTCAAAATTAGTAAAGAAATCGCCTGGGAACTAATGTGTCTACTATGTTTGATCATTTCCGTATTCTTGTTGACCATGTTTATGTTTTCCTCCAAAAGCCGCCTGTAGGAGGACATGCCCGACCTGACGCGAAGGGGATTCTCCCTGTGGGAGGGGTGCGCGGGGGGGGGGGGGAGGGCGACCCCACAGACTCTCCCACTCGGGGTGTCCAAGTGTGACGTCCCGTTCTGGGCAAAAACGCCCCCCGGGGACTTGGTCCAACGAGTGGCGCGCTTCGGGGTCGAGGTGTCGGGGGGCCGTCCGTGCTGCCCCGCAAGAATCGATTGGCCGTAGAAAGTCACTCCTACCCAGGGTCACTCTTGCGTGTAGCCGAAAGAAGCGAGGCGAATGAAAACGAGGTTGGCCCGCTTCGCGCCAGCCGCTGCCAGCGCGGCGGCGGCCCCTGAGGGCCGCACGGTGTTACGTTCGGGCCGGGGTATCAGATCGAGGTCGGTTCGGGGAGGGTCTCTTATCGTTCTTCGTGTTTGCTGGATGCTCCTGTGCATCTTGGGGAGGGTACCCTTGGATGTTCAGTGTGTTTTGGCCCGCGGAGGGTCTCATGTGCTCGAAGGGTGCTTCCCTGTCCCAGGTCTGATGGCACCCTCGGAATGGTCATGCGTCTTCCCGGGGGCACATTCGGCTTGCACCGCCTGAACGTTGTGGCAGACCCCAGCGCGGGCGTTCAAGGTTGAACGCCGCCGGGAGCACGGAGGCGGTCGGCATCGAGCGACACGCGAGATCAGCAAGGCGCTATCCTTCTGGGCTGAACGCCCCACCCGGTATAGCAGAAGCCACCGCCGACGCCCCGACACGCGCTGGCCACACTCCGCCACCCCTCGCAGCCGCGACGACTCTGCCGGCGCGAGCGTCCGGCTCGCACTGGCAGCGGCGGCGTCCGCCCAAGGCCCCCCGCCCCCGCGCCTCCTCGGGGCCGTTCGCTGGCCAGGGGCCGGAAGGCCCGGAGAGTTCGGCGCTGCGTCTGCCCCCTTGCTGGCCCGCCTGCCGGGTCTTCGGGAGGTCTGGAGGGGGGCAGTGCGGATGTGCATCTGGCGGGGTCCTGCCCCACAGTCGACCCGCATGGCAAGGATGGGCAGTTTTCCCAAGGGTACCCTTGCATCCTTGCCTCCTCGATCCATCCTTGGCCACTTTCGTTGGCCGCGTCCCACTCGAAAAGCCTCGAAACGGCCTTCCAAGGCCCTTGCATCCTTATCGTGCGTCCTTATGATACGGGTTGACTGTACCTCCTCTTCCTCACCTTCCTCCTCCTCCTCCTCCGTCTTTCCTTCCTTCCTTCCTCCTCCTGCTCCTTCTTTTCTTTTATTCACGACGAAGACGACAACGGACGACGAGGATTGCCGGATGCGGTCGGCGAAAGGCGCCAGTGATGCCGACCGTCGTCGCGCAACAGCCTCGGCCTCAGTAAGAGACCGCCGTCCTCAACATCGCTCTCTGCAGTGCTGTGCGCGGGCTCTTCCGAGTCGTTGCAGGCGTCCTCCCGCTCCTCTCCCTTCGATGGGCCTACGCGGACATTTCTGGATACAGCTCAGATCTGAGCGCCGTTAACAAAAAATACTTCTGCACGGTGCGGGCCGCCCTGGGACCTTGACGGGTGGATTCGGCACGGGATGAGTTGCGGCGGAAGGAAGGTGTTGAAGGATCCGATCATGAGCAGTCGCGGCAGTGTGTGTGTGTGTGGTGTGTGTGTGCGTTTGCGTGTGTGTGTGTGTGTGTGTGTGTGTGTGTGTGCGTCTTTTTCATTTCGCCCGGACCTCAGGATCATTGCACGTCGGGCCTGGCCAGGCCATGTCACATGATTAGAGGGGCTTGGTAGGCATAGCGATCGGGCCTGGAGGATTGATCAACCGGCCGATGTTCGCGATCAGCGACACGACCAGGGGTTCAGGAGGGTTGGCATTGGCTCAACGGGGACCGGCTGGTGCCCATCGGATCCGATGATTCTTGGGTGGGAAAGTCCATTTCGAGAGGCACGCGAAAATCGCTGTCACAGCGTGGG